GGGGGGGGGGGGGGGGGGGGGGGGGGACTGAGGCACAGAGAGGGAAAGCAACTTGCTTGAGGCTATGTCTAGACTGCAAGCTTCTTTTAAAAGAAGTTTTTTTCAGAAGAGATCTGAAAAAAAGTCTTTCGAAAGAGAGCGTCCACACACAAACACATAAAAAAAGCGAACTGCTTTTTTGAAAGAGCGTCCAGACTGATTCGGACGCTCTCTCGCATAAAAGGCCACCTGAAACCACTTCAGCCAGGGCTTTAGGTCACCAGTTGCTTCCGAGTGCTAGTGCCAGAGCTTTGCAGAGACACGTGCTTAAATGTGGAACCTCCTGGACAGCTGTTTCTCTGCTTCTGCTGACTTAGGGTTGGGTGGGTCCGGTGAACGCAGGAGGGGGGGCTGGAGCGGGGTCAGGGATGGCCGTGGGAGGGGGCATAGGCATCACTTGAGGAGGGGGCAAGGGCATTGCTTGGGAAGGAGCATGGGCATCACCTGGGGAGCAGGGGCAATGAGCATAGCAGGGAGGGCAGGCAGGTGGTAGGCAGGAGCAGCAACAACAGGCGGGCGTGCCTTCATTTCCCTCATGATCGCACACATTCTATTGCACCGCTGCATGAGCTGGTCCCAGGTGCTGTTCCACCATTCAGCGTCCTCACGGATCTTCTGCGCCGGGATCTGCTCGTGGGAGGGGGCATAGGCATCACTTGAGGAGGGGGCAAGGGCATTGCTTGGGAAGGAGCATGGGCATCACCTGGGGAGCAGGGGCAATGAGCATAGCAGGGAGGGCAGGCAGGTGGTAGGCAGGAGCAGCAACAACAGGCGGGCGTGCCTTCATTTCCCTCATGATCGCACACATTCTATTGCACCGCTGCATGAGCTGGTCCCAGGTGCTGTTCCACCATTCAGCGTCCTCACGGATCTTCTGCGCCGGGATCTGCTGCATGTCGTGCAGGACACTGCCATGCTGCTACATGAGGTTTTCCTGGACCCTGGTGTGCTTTTGGGTGCCCCAGGCTCTGGTGGCTGGCATGGGTGGCATGACTTGCTCCTCAGTCCGACTGGTCTGACTGTGAAGAACACAAAGGCTATATCTACACTCGCTGCTTCTTGCGTGAGAAATATGCAAATGAGGCTAAGTGTGGAATATCGCCGAGCCTCATTTGCATATCTAATGAACCACCGTTTTTGCAGAAGAGGCTCTTGCGCCAGAAGGAGCTGTCTACATTGCCCCTTCTTGCGCAAGAAAAACCCTCTTGTGCAATGCCGTTATTCCTGAAAATAATCAGTGTAGTGGCATTGCGCAAAAACGGCGGCTCATTAGGTATGCAAATGAGGCTTCACCCTTGAACATCCCTGTATGGTGTCAGCTCCACAGGGAAATTCCTGCTCCTGGGCTGATTGCACTGGGATCAAGGGCTCTGCTGCGCCAGGAACAGCTGGGGCCGAAGTCCAGAGTCTGTCAATTCCTTGTGGAGCTGGTTCTAGCATTTGCACTGCAGCACAGCCCCTCCAGCAGTAGGTCAGCTCCTGGCTGCCCACCTGTCCCCAACTCAGGAGATGCCTTTGTGCCTGTTCCTCTTGGCTCTGGTGCTCTCTGGTAAGATCTCTTGGCGGGGCTCTGCTGCGCCAGGAACAGCTGGGGCCGAAGTCCAGAGTCTGTCAATTCCTTGTGGAGCTGGTTCTAGCATTTGCACTGCAGCACAGCCCCTCCAGCAGTAGGTCAGCTCCTGGCTGCCCACCTGTCCCCAACTCAGGAGATGCCTTTGTGCCTGTTCCTCTTGGCTCTGGTGCTCTCTGGTAAGATCTCTTGGCGGGACGCAGCACTTTGAAGCAGGACATTGCCGGGGCGGGGGGGGAGGGGGAGCAGCTGTCATTTATTAGTTGAGATTCAACCTCCACATGTAACTTCCCTGAGTTCCGTTCTGGGGGATTGTAGCCTGCCGCCATGCCAGGACTTTAAGGTGACATTTTGCCCTTAAACAAAAAGCTGAGGTCAAATTGGCTTTAATCATGCCACGTGGTAGGCTAGATAGTGCCCTTGGACTGAGGTGCTATGGAGTAGAAAGTGCCTTGGATGACTCCACACCAAAGGAGGGAGTGTTTCCTAGTAGTTAGAGCATGAGACTGGTATGCAGTGCTCCTAACTTCTATTCCCATCTTTGCCACTGATTCTCTGGCTGACAGGAAACTGCACAATGATGAAATTCTCCATGAAGGAAAATTCTAAAAATAAATTAAGTTGTTTTGAATTTGACACTTTTCAAGTTTTGTATTTTATTATTATTATTAGCCAATTAGCCCGTCATAAGGTGGGATTTTCAGGTCTCTCCTCCACGTCGGTCTTCTCTCCTGAGTCTCCGGTCTCTCGCTCTGTCTCTCTCCCTCCCTCCCTCTCTCTCCTCCTCACACTGCCTCCCCCCCAGCTCTCCTCCGCCTCCTGCTTCTCTCTCTGTCTCTCTCTTTCTCTTTTCCTCCCGCTCCTGCCTCTCACTCGGGGGACCGTCGAGCCCAGACGGCCGCTTGTGCCACTTGCTCCCACGCGGCAGCCTGGCTGAGCGGCACAGAAGTCAGCCGAGCACCACAGCGGGAGGCGAAGGGGGGTGGGGCAGTGACGTACACAGCCAGGCCCCGCCCCCGGCCGTGTACGTCACCGCCCTGCTCCCCTCCCCCCCACCATGGCGCTCGGCTGACTTCTGCGCCGCTCAGCCGGGCCGCTGCGGGGGAGCAAGTGGCGCACGCGACCGTTTGGGCCCCGCACTGCACAGGCCGCCCAGAGCGAACAGCCAGCATTTTGGCATTACAGACTCTCAGACACTGGGCTACTATAGATATGATTACAGAGGGTGTATTGGCAGAAAAACTGAAACAAAAAGTTATTTCAAACTGAAAAATTGAAGTTTTTCATTCTGGAAATTTCACCTTAATTTAATGCCCAGAAAGATACAGAAACAAATTGGAAAGATTACAAAAACTGGGCCTATTGAGTCTTCAGCAGACTGAGAGAGGGCCTGATAACAGTCCTCAAATATATGAAAGGGTTTTGTGAAGAGACTCGTGATAAAATGTTCTCCAAGGCAGGTTGTGGAACCCCAGTCACTGGAGGCTGGACAAATATGTCTCAAGGCTCGTCTGGGTTTCCTTTGGCCTGTCTCAGTGCAGGAGACTGATTGGATGGTTAGTCCCAGGCCTGCATGTCTGTGACTCTGTGTGAAAAATGGGACATTTCAGCACTGTTAGGACTTTTCAGTTCTCATTTTCTTCCAGGGTGACATTCCAGAGAACTCAGTGAGTGTTTTGATCAGCTCTATTAGCTACATGCCTCTGACAAAGTGGGGTCCAGCCCACATGAGCTGATGCCCAAATAAAATTGTTAGTCTCAGGTGCCATAGGACTCCTTGTTGTATTAGCTACAGTGCCGTAGGAGCCACCCACAATGTAGACCATATTGCCCAGTACTGCATGGCCTCTTGGGCCATATGGCTCTATCAGGGACATTTATTCACCGAGAGTATGTCTATACTTGCCCCTACTTCGAAGTAGGGAGGCAAATGAAGGTGACCGAAGTTGCAAATCAAGCACGGGATTTAAATATCCCACGCTTGATTAGCATAGTCACGTCCTGTCGCCATGTTGGAAATTGACTAGCCTGAATTAACTCGCCACATGTAGACGCGGTACTCCAAGGGAAAACCCCATACTTCGAATTACCTGTACTCCTCATTGCTTTTACTGTCTCTCTGGTAGCTTGGCCTCCCTCTGGCGTCCAGTCCATCTTCATCAACAGATGCCGTAGTGCTGTCCCACGGGTGTGTGACTTTGTGTGCGACTGCAGGGACTGCTCTGATGAGAACCAGTGCGGTGAGTCCCTGCCCTTTGACTGCTCTTTCCTGGGACTAGCAATCGGCAGCCAAAGAACCTTGGGTGGGTCCCCCAGGGTCCTGACTCCTGAACCAGCTCTAAGAAGAGAGCTTGGAATCAGGACCACGCTACCACAGACAAGCACGGACCAAAGGCCCTGAATGGGCCAAACACGCGCAAGCCTAGCAACACAAGTGCAGTTTTCCTGCTAACTCTGCCTAGCACATGGGCTCCATTATCCACATGCCACTTACCCATACCTATGTGCCTATCTCCTCCTCCAACCTCCCGCCCACTCCCACAGGAATCCCCAGATGTCTAGGGCTGCTGATTTAACACCCTGCGTCCACTTGTCCCAGAAACGAGTTCTTCCCAGCCCAGGTGCCCTGAGCACTCTCCTTTGCTTCCCAGCAGGTTATCACAAAGAATCGTCCATGTTGGGAACTCCCTTCACCTGTGATTTTGAAGAGGGCAACTGTGGCTGGAAGGATGTGAGCACCTCTGCCTACCGATGGGTCACAGACCAAGCCAGCATTGCCGCGTGGGGGACAGGGCCCAGAGCCGATCACACCCTGGGCACCAATCTGGGTAAACACTTCACATTCGGCTGAGTAGCCCTCTTCTTACCTCTGCCCTGAGGTGTCTGAGCTAGAAAATCACCCTCCCTCTAGCAGCTGTACCTGGCAAGCCTCTAAGGCAGAGGTGCACCCTGGTGAGAAAGTGGTTGGCTCAGGGCGGGCCCTTGATCTTGCCCTTCCCTGCTGCCCAAAGTTGAAGCTGACCGCCAGAAGAGCCCAGGACATGAGGAGTGGGCAACAGGAAAGCCACAGATGCACAGGGCTGGTAGCAGCTGGGATCCAGGCACACAGGCAGGGCTGGCAGCTGGGATCCGGGGTATGGGGCTGGCTGCAAGCTCAGGGTGCTGGTGGCCTGAGGGGAACAGAGCTGGTTCAAGAGCTGGGGGCAGGGCAGGGCTGTCTTGAGAGCTCGGGAGAGCAGGGCCAGTAGCCAGGACTAGGGATATTAAATTTTGACTAGTCAGCTAATCGAGTAGTCGATGGATTCCCCAACAACTACTCGATTAATCAGTAAGGGGTGGGGCACTCGCTATCCTGGCCACACCACTGCCTTTAGGGCTCTTGCTACATTTAAAAGGCTGACACACAGCACTGGGACCAGCATAAGCGGGGACTGCTCAAGTCCCCACTTGCACCATTTCCTCTGCTGCACCTCTGCTTCCTTATGGAGACAGTGCTGATACAGAGGCGGGGGGCAGGAGGGGAAAAGTGACTAGTTGAGTAGTGACTCGACTACCTGATAAGTCTATTCGACTAGTCACTTACATCCCTAGCCAAGACCACAGGCTAGGATCCTGGGGGATGCTGCAGCACCCTGCCCTCCGTTAAATCCCTTCCAGTGCCTAATAATACAGCTCCACAGCTCCCATTTGGCTAAGAACAGGAGAAGTGCAGGGCAGGGTCAACAATGAGCTGCCCCAGCCCTGAACCTCCCAACCCACATACACCCTACACAGACCCACCCCAGCTCCCAACTCCCTGCCCTGAGCCCCCCCCACACCCCGCCCCCTTAGCCCCCCCTCACCTCAACCCTCTGCCCTGAGCCCCTCATACACTCTAGCCCTGACTCCTGCACTGCTCCCACATCTCCAGCCCTGTACCCTGAGTGCCCCCCTCACCCCCACACTTCACCTCACAGTTAAACTTCCTGCAGGTTCTGTCGTATCACAACTCTCTCACCCCCTGCCCGCCAAGGGAGGGTGGGTTGTGATAGGACAATACCTATACAAAATATAAGTTATGTTTACCCTTTGGGGTATGGTGCACTGTTATATTCAGAACAGATCCATCTGTGATCGGCACATGGGGCTTTTAGGCATTCTTTTGCCTTGTCACTTTCAGGTAGGGATTATAAATGCAAAAAAGCCATGGTATTATCTGCACCACACCTCTAGGGCAGAGGTCTTTACGATTCTGTGGCTCAGGCCATATCCTGGTTAATGTAGGCACCAGTGTTCCCTCTAAAAATGTTTCATAGATGAGTGAAATACATTTTGTTATGTGCACCTAGTTATGTGTGGCTGTGCACTACCCATAGAAACACATGCTGCAGGTTGTGGGAGGCTGTGGGTGCTTGGCAGCACCTGAATTTCTCCTTGGTGGCTGCCCACGTGCTTAGCTTACCTGGCAGCCTGTTCCACTCTATCCCCCCTCTCCCAGCTTGCTGCATTCTGCTTCACCATGGCAGCAGGAGTGCCCCAGCCCACTCCCCCAAGCCGTTCATTGGTTGGGTAGGCATTCCCACCATACCCGGTTCCTAGGGCTCAGGACATAATCTGCAGGTGTGCAGGGCCTTTCAGCTGTGCAAGGGCCTTGCGATTTGATAACAGCCACCAAAACAGAACAAACATGCTACACAATGCTCAGCCCTCCCACTAAGGCAGGTGAACTTTTCCTGGAGGCCAGGAAGGATGAGGTTGTTTGGGGCTCCAGCGACTGCACTGAGGTCTGGCAGCTCTGACCTTGGATTGTGCCCTGGAATTAGGGGCTAAAGAACTTCCTTTGGGACCCCAATTTATATAGTGAAACTTGAGTCATCTTATCCAGCCCCCTGCCCAAAGCAAGACCAAGCCCAACTAAATTATCCCAACCAGGACTTTGTCGAGCTGGGACTTAAAACCTCTAGGGATGGAGATTTCACCACCTCCCTAGGGAACCCAGCCCGGTGCTTCACCACCCTCCATGGGATGAGACCGTTGTTCCTCGTTGTGCGAACAGCCTAGTTCCATCTTTGGAACTCCACTTCAGGCAGTTGAAAGCTGCTCTCAAATCCCCCCTCACTCGTCTCTTCTGCAGACTAAATAAGCCCAAATCCCTCAGCCTCTGCTCATAAGTCATGTTCCCCAACCACCTAATTATTTTCATTGCCTTCCGCTGGATCCAGTGCATCCACATCCTTTCTATAATGAGGTCACTCCCAGAATGGGATGCAGTACTCTAGATGTGACCTCACCAGTGCCGAATAAAGGGGAATAATCACTTCCCTAGATAGGGTACGTCTACACAGCAGTTATTTTGGAATAATTGATGTTATTGCAAAACAAAATAGTCCATGTCTACACTACAAGCAGTTATTTTGAAATAATATTAAAATAATGTCAAGCTGATGGACTTCTTACTCTGATTCCTCTAACCCTCATTTTACAAGGAGTAAGGGAAGTCGGAGGAAGAATGCTCGTTCTTGGATTTCCTGCTATGTAGACAGCACCAAAAGCTGAAATAAGCTATTTTGACTTAAACTACACAATTGACGTATCTCAAGTTGCATACCTTATTTCGGGTTTAGCCCTGCTGTGTAGACAATGTCGGAGCATTTCTTCTGGAATAGCTTATTTTGAAATAGCACGTCTACACTACAGGAAAACCTGAAAATTAGTCCAAGGCAGGCTTCCCTAATGTGGATGTGCTACCTTGATTTATAGCCCCAGGAGGCACTGGGGAGTAATTACTTTGAATGGCCTTGGGGAGGAGCTATTTCGAAATAGCAGCAGTGGAACATCCACACTATTGCTATTTTGAAAAAGCTATTTCAGAATAGGCATTATTCCTTGTGGAATAAAGTTTACAGAAGTTGGAATAAGCCATCTGTTATTTTGAATTTATTTCAAAATAAGAGAATTGCTGTGTAGACACTCGCATTAGGCCAGTGACCACTGACTTGGGCTTGAGGGGCTATAAAATTGTAGTGTAAACATCAAGGCCTGGGATGCAGTCCTGTCTCTGACACCCTCCACAGCTGCATTCCTGAGGGGCACATTTCAAGGCCTGACGCAAGGATGAGGCATGATGGAGGAAGTCAGGGGTTAGAAGGCCTGTGCAAGGTGCTGGCAGCAGTGGAGAGGTAGAGGAGAAAGGTTGAAGGAAGCTGCTCCAAGTGCCATGAACCCTAGAGTAGAAGACTCTTGCACTGGTAATAAAGACTCAGTTCTCAAGTGTCTATGGAATCATGCACTGAAATAAACAGAGGCAAATGCTTTACAGGAATCAGAAGGGTTTTGCGGCTGCTATTTGAAATATGAGCCAATTAGCCCGTCATAAGACGGGATTTTCAGGTCTCTCCTCCACGTCGGTCTTCTCCCCTGAGCCTCCGGTCTCTCGCTCCGTCTCCCTCTCTCTCTCTCCTCCTCCTACTGCCTCCCCACTCCCCTCAGCTCTCCTCCCCCTCTGCCTCTCACTCGGGGGACCACACAGTCCACATGGCCTTTTGGGCTCCACACTCCCCGTGCTGCATGGGGAGCCCAAACGGCCGCTTGTGCCACTTGCTCCCCCGTGGCAGCCTGGCTGAGCGGCACAGAAGTCAGCCGAGCGCCACGGCGGGAGGGGAAGGGGGGGGGGGCAGTGATGTGCGGCATAACAGCAGCTCCAGGCCCCGCCCCCGGCCATGAATGGCACCACCCCACCCCCCTTTGCCTCCTGCCATGGCGCTCGGCTGACTTCTGCGTTGCTCAGCCGGGCCGCCACAGGGGAGCAAGCAGCCGATTGGGCCCCACACTCCCCTTGCAAGACAGGCCACCCAGAGGGAACAGTCAGCATTTCAGGCAACGGCTCCCCCCAGAGGGACCAGCCAGCATTTCGGGCAACAATGCCTCCCAGAGGGACCAGCCAGCATTTCGGGCAACAATGCCTCCCAGAGGGACCAGCCAGCATTTCGGGCAACAATGCCTCCCAGAGGGACCAGCCAGCATTTCGGGCAACAATGCCTCCCAGAGGGACCAGCCAGCATTTCGGGCAACAATGCCTCCCAGAGGGACCAGCCAGCATTTCGGGCAACAATGCCTCCCAGAGGGACCAGCCAGCATTTCGGGCAACAATGCCTCCCAGAGGGACCAGCCAGCATTTCGGGCAACAATGCCTCCCAGAGGGACCAGCCAGCATTTCGGGCAACAATGCCTCCCAGAGGGACCAGCCAGCATTTCGGGCAACAATGCCCCCCAGAGGGAACAGTCAGCATTACAGACTCAGACACTGGGCTACTATATATATATGATACTGGGAGGGGAGGGGGTGAAGAGGGATTTCTCCTGTTGCGCTGAGCTAGAGACTAAGAACTGCAGTCCAGGTTTCACATACTGTAGGAGAGGCTCCTGGTAAGAACACACATGATGGGGAGCAAAGTGCCACTTGCTATGGGTCTGTGTCCCACGGACATGAGGGGAAGTGGATCGGAGAAAGAAATGTGTCTGCTCTGCCCTTGCGTGGGAATGACCCTCCCTGTGTTTGCTCTCCCCAGGCTGGTACATGGCTGCAGAAATACGCAGAAGCGTATTTGCTGCTTTCGCTAGGCTAAGGTCCCCTGTGATGCGACAAGCAGCAGCCACTTGTGAGATCCGAGCTTGGTACCACCTATGGGGAACAGGTAAAGTTCAGCCTGTGCCAAATGATACAACAGGGTAGCACTGCAGGGGGACAGACCCAGCCTCTCCTATCGCAGCACAAGCACAGGGACAAGATCTGTACCAGGTTTAAGGGAGCACTGGAGGCGGTAGGGTAGCTATTGCAGGTGTAGGCTGGGATCAGCTTGCAAGCTGACTGACGGGGTGGGACTGCTCCCAGTACATTGGTGCTCTCCTGTCTGGTGTACAGAGGGGTGCATGTCTCGCCAAAGCAGCTGGTACAGGGCACTTCTGGAGACAGGATCTTGGCTTGATGGGCCCCTGCTCTGATCGGGTCTGGCAGCTCTTATGTTTCTTGGATGGACTGGATTGTCCATGTTTTAGCAGCTATTGGACACCAGATACCAGTGGTATTACTTGTAAAGGGGCCCATTTCCTTTTCCTTTGCCATTGCCCATTTCTTTCCAAGAGTCTGTAAGTATTTTACAGGCACTTCTGAACCCTCACAGTCTCCCTCTGATGTGGGGGATAATATAACCCCCACCTTACCACTGGGGAAATTGGGGCATAGAGGAGTAAGGGATTTTCCCAGCATCATCTAATGAGTCAGTGGCAGAGCCAGTGCTCTAGCTGAGTCTCAAGAAGGCCACTGGGCACAGAAAGACCCTTCCAGCTGCTAGCCCTTCATGACTGGGTTCTTCTCGGGGGATTAAAGCAGAACCTGACAGAACCCAGCAGTCCTGGTTCTCAGTTGCCCAGACTCTGTTAGCCAAAACAGTGTTCCATGCTGCTGTGGAGAGGGCTTGAGGGAGGCACCCGGTGCTGGCTGGTGCTTTTGGTGACATAGATGGGCAGGTCACACTGGGGTGCCCAGGCTGGTGGAGCGACCATGTGATCAAGGATCCTGGCTTCCTCATAGGGCTTAACAAGACAGTGCAGCCTGCTCTGTGGGTGGAGCTGATGTCTGACAAGGAGACCATAATGCTGTGGCAGAACCCTGAGAGCAGCATCTCTGCCTGGCAGGAGCTGGTGGCATACACAGGCCGGGTGCAGGGGGAGTTCCAGGTGAGAAACCAAGCAGTAGCCTGCTCTGTGCCCACTGGCAGCACATGCACCCCGCCAGCTAATCACGAGTGGGGCGTGGGACACTGGCCTGTGGGGCAGCCCCATGCCTGCCTCCCGGGGAAGCATGGAGTTGCAAAGGCAGGGAAAGGGTTGGCTAGAGATTGCAGCTCTGGCATGTGGTGGCCCAGACACAGGTTACAGGTGGCCCATGGCTCTGGAGGTCAGGGCACAGGGTCAACAGTGGCCCATAGCACTAGCATAGGACGTGGTCAGCACCCCGATGGGCTCTAGACAGTCCACATGTGACAGGCTAGTGCTCAGTGTGTGAAGGGCCTGAACAAGAAGGGGACAGGCCCAGCAACTGCAAACTCTGCAACTCCTGCTGGAGGGCTCATGGCAGCCATGGCTGGGGGAGGCTGATTGCTCCTCGTGTGGGGGGAAGAGCAGGCAGAGGGCTCTCCCTGCACTCTCGGAGAGGGAGCGGAAGGAGCCCAGCAGCTCCCAGGGGTCAGGCCAGGCGAGCCATGCCCACGTCTTGCCAGTGCCCGGCGGTGCCCATATGGTTTTCCCTTCTCGTGGCAGATCACCTTCTCCTCGCAGCAGAGCTCTTGGCAGCTGGATGATGTGGAGTTCAGGAGCTGCGGTTTGCCACGTAAGGCAGCATCACCCTTCTAGCACCCGCCTTCGCCTGCCCAGGGCATTGAGTCTGGCTGTGCCACCCCAGGCACCTCCCTTATTCCTGTAGGCACCCCTACTCCTCTCAATCAGCTGGGGCAGACAAAGCCCTCGGCAGGGCTCTTGCTGGGGCAGGTGGTGCCCTTGCTTGCTAGGCTGCACTTGGACAGTGCCCAGGCCACCTACACCCCCCAGCCCTCTCCTGGGTCCAGCTGCCTCAGCTCTCCAAAGCCCTCACAGCCTCCTACCCCCTCAATTCCCCGGCAGGCCTCACAGACTACCAGCCCCTCCCCCCCCGAGAATTAACTCTTTCCTACCCACACTCAGCACCCCTAAACTTGCCATGCGGCCCAGACAAGTGGCGATGCAACCGTGGATCCTGCGTGCACCTGGAGCAGCTGTGTGATGGCACCGATGACTGTGGGGATCTGTCAGATGAGCCCCCCCCGAGAATTAACTCTTTCCTACCCACACTCAGCACCCCTAAACTTGCCATGCGGCCCAGACAAGTGGCGATGCAACCGTGGATCCTGCGTGCACCTGGAGCAGCTGTGTGATGGCACCGATGACTGTGGGGATCTGTCAGATGAGTCCACCCCAGCCTGCAGTGAGTGTTCCTGGGCCAGAGAGCACCGGCCGCCAGGGCT